GTGTCCCCAAATGTCCCAAATGAGGTTCCAGGTGTCTCAAAGTGTCCCCAAGTGTCCCAAATGGGGTCCCAGGTCCCCAGGTGTGTCCCCAACTGTCCCTAAATGTCCCAAATGCGGTCCCAGGTGTCCCCAGGTGTCCCCAAATGTCCCCAGTGGGGTTTGAGGTGTCCCCAGGTGTGTCCCAGGTGTCCCCAAATGTCCCCAATGGGGTTTGAGGTGTCCCCAAATGTCCCAAATGGTGTCCCCAGGTGTCCCCAGCTGTCCCCAGGTGTGTCCCAGCTGTCCCCAGGTGTGTCCCAGGTGTCCTCAAGTGTCCCCAAATGTCCCAAATGGGGTCCCAGCTGTCCCCAAATGTCCCCAGTGAGGTTTGAGGTGTCCCCAGATGTCCCAAATGGTGTCCCAGGTGTCCCCAGGAGTCCCCAGGTATGTCCCCAGGTGTCCCTAAGTGTCCCCAAATGTCCCAAATGGGGTCCCAGCTGTCCCCAGCTGTCCCCAGGTGTGTCACAGCTGTGTCACAGCTGTCCCCAGGTGTCCCAAATGAGGTCCGAGGTGTCCCCAGCTGTCCCCAGGTGTCCCCAGGTGTGTCCCCAGGTGTGTCACCGCCGTTGTCCCCACAGCAAACCATCCGCGAGCTGTCCCCAAATGTCCCATAGGTGTCCCCAAATGTCCTAAATCAGCTCCCAGGTGTCCCCAGGTGTGTCACAGGTGTCCCCAATGGGGTTTGAGCTGTCCCCAAATGTCCCCAAGTGTCCCCAGCTGACCCAGGTGTCCCAAATGAGGTCCGAGGTGTCCCCAGGTGTGTCCCCATGTGTCCCAAAGTGTCCCCAAATGCCCCAAATGGGATCCCAGGTGTCCCCAAATGTCCCCAATGGGGTTTGAGGTGTCCCCAGGTGTGTCCCCAGGTGTGTCCCCAGGTGTCCCCAGGTGTGTCACAGGTGTCCCCAGGCGTCCCAAATGAGGTCCGAGGTGTCCCCAGGTGTCCTAAAGTGTCCCCAAATGTCCCATAATGGTGTCCCCAGCTGTCCCAAATCAGCTCTCAGTTGTCCCCAAGTGTCCCAAATGGGATCCCAGCTGTCCCCAGGTGTGTCCCCAGCTGTCCCCAGCTGTCCCCAGGTGTCCCCAGGTGTCCCCAGGTGTGTCACCGCTGTTGTCCCCACAGCAAACCATCCGCGNGACCCCGCGGCCACCGGGAGGACGCACATCCTGGAACAGGTGAGGGACGCGTGTCACCGATGTCACCAAATGTCACCAAATGTCACAAATGTCACCAATGTCACCAGATGTCACCAATGTCACCAGATGTCACAAATGTCACCAATGTCACAAATGTCATCAAATGTCCCCAAATGTCACCAATGTCCCCAAATGTTGCAAATGTCACCAATGTCCCCAAATGTCACAAATAGTCCCCAATGTCACAAATGTCCCCAATGTCACCAAATGTCACCAATGTCCTCCAGTGTCACCAATGTCCCCAATGTCCCAAATATTTGTCATTGACCCCAATGATTTCAATGTCCCCAATGTCTCCAATGTCATGCAATGTCCCCAAATGTCCCCAATGTCCCCAAATGACCCCAATGATCTCCATGGCCCCCAAAGTCCCAAATATTTTCTCATTGACCCCAAATGTCCCCAATGTCCCCAATGTCATCAATGTCCCAAATGTCTGTCATTGACCCCAATGATTTCAATGTCCTCAAATGCTGCCAATGTCCCCAATGTCCCCAAATGTTTCTTGTTGACGTCAATGTCCCCAAGGTCCCCAAATGACCCCAATGATCTCCATGATCCCAATGTTTTCATTGGGTTTAATGTCCCCAATGTCCCCAATGTCACCAAATGTCCCCAATGTCACCAAATGTCCCCAAATGTCACCAAATGTCCCCAATGTCACCAAGTGTCCCCAATGTCACCAATGTCATAAAATGTCATCAATATCCCCAAAAAGTGCCAAATAATTGTCGTTGACGGCAGTGATCTCAATGTCCCCAAATGTCCCCAATGTCCCCAGATGACCCCAATGATCTTCATGGTCCCAATGTTTTCATTAGGGTTAATGTCCCCACTGTCCCCAATGTCTCCAGATGTCCCCAAGTGACCCCAAATGTCCCCAATGTCCCCAATGTCCCCAATGTCCCCAATGTCCCCAGTGTTTGTCATTGACCCCAATGATCTCAATGTCTTCAATGTCCCCAAATGTCCCCAAAGTTCTCCAATGTCCCCAATGTTTCGCATTGACCCCAATGTCCCCAATGTCCCCAATGGTCTCAATGTCCCAAATGCTTTCAATGCTCTCAATGCTCTCAGTGTCCCCAATGTCCCCAGTGTCCCCAATGCTCTCAATGTCCCCAATGGCCCCAATGGCCCCAATGCTCTCAGTGTCCCAAATACTCTCCAATGTCCCCAAGGTCCCAAATGCTCTCAACACCCCAAATGTCCCAATTGTCCCCAACACCTTGAATGTGTGCAATGTCCCCAATGTCCCCAATGTCCCCAATGTCCCCGATGTCCCCAATGTCCCC